AGAGAACCCATGGTATAAATGCTAAACCTTTCAAAAGAAAATGCAGACTACAAGTACGATCACGAAATAATTATATTAGGGTAATTTATATTTTCACTAACCAACAGTTGGCCATTAATGGCCAGAATAAGCTGGTACACTGGTCCTTACAAAATACATGTTAACGAGTTGTACAAAGGCATCGAAGGTATCTTTGTGATCAAAGAGACGTTCTAAGGTGGGAGGTGGCCAATGGAGATCATGAGACTCAAGTAACAGTTTTAAAATCAATCTTTCATTTTCTAGCATAGGGCATGTATAAATATAATGATCGCTGCTGTCGTTGCAATCACATATAAGACATCTTGAGTTTGATGTGCCCTTGAATCTTGAAAGGTATGAATAAAATCTCCCATGATTTGTTAATATTTGTGTGAGTTGGTGGGTAGGCTTGTACCATTTATTACTAAGGAAATTTGTAATATCTGTAATATATTCATGTGTTTTATTATTAATATTATTCCATTGAAGCTGCCATGCATGAATTACTTCTTTCCACAGGATAGTTTTAATTGTTTGTATACTAATTCTTTTGTAAGATACAGGTAAGTCCTCCTTATAAGAAGCCTCTTTTGCAAGTTCGTCTGCCAGTTCATTTCCATAGTGCCCTTGATGTCCTCGAATCCAGTTTATAGCGAAATGACAAGTGAATGTATTTATGATATCTTGTATACGATTTGCAATCGGATGATAGTTTCTGGTTTTTAGCAGAACTATGGCAGAACAATAATCAGTATTAACAGAAATCCTTTTGTTTGTATAATTGTGCTTGCACCAAGCAACAGCCATTTGAATGGCGAACAATTCGGAACATTTCGCGTTCTGATATTGGAATACGAATAAATTCGGTATAGTTGTTGTTTAATTAATGCATGCTATAAAACAAAAATGGGGTGTGGCTGTGTCCGAGACACGGCCGTGTGTTTTACGTGAATGCGTGTACGTTAATTAATTAACGGGTAATATTTTCTTTGAACGTATTATATGTATGTCATAATCATTCTATAACAGTAAGAAGTCCTTCAGATCTCCATGTTTTTTTACGTTCCCGGCACCACTTCACTCTATCATTTGGTGTTTATGGGTATCACTGGATTGCTGTTGAGAAGCCCTTTCCAACCGTGTACGATTTCTATATTTTGATTCGGCTTTTCGACGAGTATAGGCCGACATTGTATTAAGTTTTCTTAATTTTTAACTTTAACACCATATACTGTATATTCACTATAACTATTCCACACTAATGTTTTGTGTACGCAATCGATAAATATTGACGAGAGCTGTAAATTGAAATTCGAACGAGCGTCGTAGCTTCTCCCAATCAAAATGTATACTAAACGGAAAGTATGTGGAACGGCGAAACGACCTCAAAATGGCGGCGCTTTCCCCTCCGCCGCGCGCGATGCGTCACAGTCCCCACTCAACGTAATGAATTCTTTGATCCTTTAACTATCGAGTGGTGTAATTAAATTTTGGATGTAGATGATAGATATGTAACTGCAATGCCAAACTGTATTCCTCCATTTTGTTATCATCAGTTTTCTAAATTACCTCCCACTACGGAAGCAAATTTAAAGATGTATTCACGTCAAAAAAAACAAAAAACAGAAAAGTTGTTCTGTCGTCTAGTAAAAAAAAATTTCATATATAGCTTCACATATTAAGCGAAAAGTGCTATTACTGTATTAGGGAATGTGCTGATTGGTTTAACTGAAGCGATATCACGTTGCTATTAAGTTGATTCTTTCCATAGTAAAATACAATAATCTATTTTTAGCATTGTTTTTGAGAAATAGTTCTGAAATTTTTCAGTTTTAAATTTTACCTCATTTTTTGAGGGTCGTCAATATTGTCAGATAAGCAGGTTTCGGGGAGGGGGCTATATCTCGCGAAGGATCACTATTGGATACCTAGTTCCTTTTATTTAGTTTTTTTATGAATATAGTATACAACCCTAGCATGACTAAATACCAGGGCTGTGGAGTCGCTAAAAATCTACCGACTCCGACTAGGGGCGGACTTGTTACCGAAAGAGACTCGGAAATTCTGACGTCACCACGTGACCCCAGAATAAAAGGTTAAATAAATAGAGTTCTAATACAGATAGAACGTAAACTTTTTATTCCAACGCTAAAAGACTCCTCTAATATATAAATATGTATTCGATAATTTTTACTTTTCCGGCTGTTATATATAACAGAGGGAAAGTGTAACGCTCGGTCAAAAAATGACCCCTCCCAAATTTTACATTTTTGGACAGGACGCCTTGAAATTTCGAGATATGCAAAAGATTCGAGGTTTTTTCTATAAGTGTGGATGTTAGACTGTGTGGGGGAGCATGATTTTGTTCACCCTGTTTGAAGCCTAATAATTTCTGTGGTCAGAATGGTTAGAATCGGAGTCAGATGGTTTAACACATGAGTTAGTTATTAAGCGTCAGAGTGGTTGAACTAAATCGTGTCCCCATACACATTCTAACATCGTAGGCGAGAATATCTTAACGGATTTTACTGTACTATTATAAAACGACAAAAAAAGCTTACTTTGAGGGTAGAGACGAGTTTTACTTTTTTTTTTTAATTTTGAACGCTAATAACGAGTAAAATATTCATTAAGACATATGACCCCTTTTACGTCTTCACACTGTCGACCTTTAATTAAGAACCAAAATTTAATAGTATTAATGCCCTTTTATACGCAAGCTACAGTGCCACATTTCGTTTCTTAAACTTTACTCATTCTGAGATAGTTTAATATCTCAGAACAGAAAATAAAGAAATTAAACAAATTAGACTCGTGCGAATTTTTCCTCTTTTATTGACTTTTTGGGGGTTCGGGAGGTCTCCAAACGTGTAGATTTTAAAAGAAACATGGAGGGTCAAATTTGACACGATTTCAATACTTTTCCATTGTATATACATAACAAGTTGGGAAGTAAAAAGGAGTCGGAGTCGGCAGATTGTTTGACGACTCCGACCCCGGCTAAAACACTAAAACTCCACGACTCCGACTCCGACTCCGCAGCCCTGCTAAATACCAAAACTGCTTTTCAATTGATTGAGGTAAGTAAATGTTGCCATGTAGGTCCTACTGTAATAAATGTAAAGCCTTATTCACCCGTTTTTATTATAATAAAAAATAGTTGGAAAGCATTTCTCAATGTAAATTTAATTCGTAATTTACAAGAACTGCTCAAAATTGTCTCCGAAGATTTATATGAAGAGAAAGTTTCATTATGTCAAGGTGTCGATCCATATGAAGCCGGCTTGTCAGACTTCGTTGTAGATCGAGTTTCCAAATATTCTGACTTAAATCAGGTATTTAGTATTTGAAATACGAGGCTTGTTCACAAAGTAAGTGTACTGTGACCATAACGGGCTGTGATTTTTTGTTTTTTGAGGGTTGGCAACATTAAGTGGTAGAGAGATCTGACGGAGCGGACATCGCAGAAACACGGTAGTACGTAAACTCACGTTGTAGTGAGTGTCCAGTTGCGTGAAAGATATCGGTAAGAAATCTCGCCACGTGCTGTGATCCGCTTCCTACTCGTGGAAGGAATAACACCTACCGAATTTTTTTCGCGAATCAAAACGGTTTACGGCGAAGGTGTTATGAACAGAACGAGTGTGTTTCGGTTAAGTGGTTAGGAAGTTTAGTGGAGGCAGAACAAATGTTCATGACGAACAGAGTGAAGACCTTTCATTTTGACTGATGAGTTGGTGCAAAAACTCGAGGAAACTGTTCGTGAAAACCGCCGATTGGCGTGGGTGAAATTTCTGCGATATTTCCACAACTCACCAGAACGCTCTTATACGAGACACAAAAACGCTGGCGGGAGTTCTTCGAGGAGGGCATAAAGAAGCTTGTGCCATGGCTTACCACATGCATTGAACGGAATGGCGATTATGTGTAAAAATAGTCAACAAGTGTATCAACAATATCCTGTAATTTTTTTCAAATACACTTTTTCTTAAAAAATATATAAAAATCTAGTAGACTTACTTTCTGAACATGCCTCGTAGTTCATAAGTATTTTACCCAGCTCTGTTAATTCTGCAAAACAGTTCTTTTTTAAAATTTATGTCAATCATCGGATACTAAACTATAACTTAAAAATAAGATTTAGGTAATAAGAACGAAAAATGGAAATTTAAACAAAAGAATTTTTTTCTTTACAAAACGTGTATAGGATTAAAACAATTTGAAGTTAAAGCTTAAAAATTCTCCTCCAAAACCCACTAATTACATTACTTTATGCAACAATGTAAATTTTTCATCGTATAAAAGAATTTCGTTCTGCTTTAGTGGAGGAAAATAATTGAAGTGCTTAAAAGGGATATAACTTAAATATCTAAATGTGTACTTCACTTATTGATATGAACTCATAAGACTATTTTCCACTTCAATTATTGATAAATTACATCCAATTGTTTTTATACGATAAACACGTTCGCAAAAAAATCCGTGTAAAAAGTTACTCTCTGTATAAGTAAACGGAAGGTTGATTTGATCTTAAAAACAAGTTTAAAAATCTAGCAGAGTTGCGTAACTTTCCAGGCTGTTATGAATTTTTATTTAAAAATCTTTTAAGCAAAATATGAAATTGTGTGTGGCGCCATCTGTTATCAGATTTTGTTACAAAAACTTTTTTTGCCATTTTATAATTATTAAAAAACTATATTTTAAACTATATATAACCGGATTTTTTACTGTTATGCAATACATAAGGGAAAGTATGGGAATCGTGTCAAATTTGACCCTCGAGATTTTTTGCAAATCTCCACATTTTGAGATTGAATTTAAAAAATCAACAGCCAAAATATTCCTGCATTAAATTAATTGAGATCTTTTTAATGTTTATTGAATTTTATTTTGAAGTAAATAATATTCTAAAGTAAAAAAAATTTTGATTTCTGAAAATATTTTAATATTTTATCCAATAATAGAATATAGTTTCAAAAATAGTATTAAAACTTCAAGGGCATAAAAATAAAATTTGCATCTGTAAAGTATTTATTTACATCTATCTACAGCCTCAAAATTTTACATTCATTTTCCTTTACTAAGAAGATCTTTTGCCTCACCAATTTTTGCAGCCAGATAAGGGGATCCTCCTGGGAAAAAAACAAAAGTTCTAAAATGCAATAAATTAAAATTTGAAAATATTTGAAGATGCAAATTACCTCGATCAGGATGATTCAATACCATTATTCTTTTGTATGATTCTACAATTTTTGCATTTGTTGCAGAAGGACTGTTAAAAAGAATGAACCATTAAAATAAAAATTTGATATGAAACAATTTTGAATATAGCCTTTTCTATTTAAATCTTTACACTAGCAAATTAAATCATCATTATACATTTTACTTGTTACAATTTGTGTGGATACAATTGATTTTCTGGATTATTTCAAAATTAACAGAAACTTCTAAACTGTATAGAATGAACGTTAGAGAAAATAAAATACAAAAACAACTATTTATATGTAATTTAGCTGTATACTCAGCAAAATATATTCTGTAACGATTAACAATTTTTTACAGAAAATAAGTTTTGCATAAAGCAGCAGCACATCACATTCAAACATTTTAACTGTCTTATTTGAAATTTTTCATTTTACTCTGTTAGAAATGTTATAATGTAACTGTTATGTTAGACCCAATAACATGATTTACATTATACTCTTGCAAACATATACCCATAAACTTATTATCAAGACATTGAACAAGACAAAAAGTAATGAAATATCTTACAAGTACTGTACTTTCCATATAATATTGTAAATTGTAATATTGTATACTGGCACAATGAAGTGACCTCTTAACCAACACTTGGCAAGTTTTCCATCTTTATTCCATCTTTATTTCGATAATAACATACAAATACGAAGAGGAATGGAAATGGCCTTTATGCAATGGTTTTTTACTTTAATTTATGTCACGGAACAGTTACTGTTTACAGATAACTTTGTATGTATGTTAGAAATTGGGATTTTAAAGAACCCGATTGTGCGATTGTAAGAAAGGTGCATAAAAATGGCAATTATGATAGTCATTATGTGACATTTAAGGTTGTATACGGATCCACCATATATTAGTTAAGTGTCTGAAATCTGGAGTAAGTTGGCTGAAGAGGGGAGAATACCCGAAACGCAAATGTATAGCATGGCGTACTAACTAAATAAAGATGGAAAACTTGCCAAGTGTTGGTTAAGAGGTCACTTCATTGTGCCAGTATACAATATATAAATAACAACACAGTTTCAATAATAACAAAGTAAACTTTAATGTTTACAATATTATAAACATTTGATACAAGTTCTGTAATAATAATTGAGTTTTCTAGTATTTATTATTTTTTTCCAACTACATTCATTTAAAAAACATTCATGAATAGTGAAATGAAAAATAGTTTATCAGAATATGTGAGACTTAAATGGCACTTGTGAGTAGCATTGCAATCCCTCTTTGAAGCAAGCATTTCTTGATTTTATACTGTGACATAATTTAGAAGTTTAAAAGTTTTAAAAAGTATTCCAGAAACATTTTTTAAAACTTTGTTTTAAAATTTTCACCATTTGGAGGATAGAAACAATTATCACTGTCCAAGAATCTAAAATTTCTCCTATTACAGAAGAAAAACATATGTGCAGATAAGATTATTAAAAAGTTCTTTCCACACATACAAGTTTAGTGGCAATCTTATAATCTTCTACTTTTCTTAAAATATCCTGTATTCTGTGTGCACCCACAATCTACTTTTTGTGCCTTAGAAATACAGATTTTCAATTTTTTACTGGATTTTATAATGCATTAGAATAATCACTAAAAATGAAAATAAGAATACAATGGATTCTCGATCTACTGTTTTTGGCAGGATTTGGGGGAAAAATGACTGATGCAGGAAAATGATTGACATGGGAAATTTATGACATCAATATTTTTATTGTTTATCTTGTATGAAGCATATTTTCCAGTGATAGGACAGAGTGGCTTTCTGTAATACTAAATGATGTGGAGCATGCGCATGGATGTTTGTTTATTCTACATTTTAGAACATTGTTAAGAATACTGAAATTTGTTCTAATTTCTTTCGGTAAGAATATTTAATGTATTGCCACTTTTCTTGCACTTGAAGATGATACTGTAGAATTGTCAAAAATGTTAGTGAAATTATAAATTTTTGTCACTTACAATGTGTTGATTCTTTTATGGAAAAGGGTTTTGACTTTTCTCACTTGTACAGACACAATCTTCCTTATCTCAAGACAATGCAGGGTGCCAACCTTATGAGAGAAAATCATCATATCTGCCCCTTTAAATTATTGTACATCCATCTCAATCCTTTATACTTATGCCCTTTATCCATAGAAATATTAACAAGGTTTGACCTGTGTCAGAATCTCTTAAGCTTTGTAAAATGGGATCTAAAAATTTTTTAGATCCCATTTTACAATGAAGTTTTTATGACTTTCCTTTATATGATGCAAAACAAACCTCGGAATGGACATAAACTAAAATTTAGGTTTTTTCATAGAATTTCAACATACCAAACATTAAAAAATTATTATTAACAAATATGTAACACATTCATTTATATACTGTTCTTATTTCATATTCATAAACCTTAGTTTTTCCAAATTTTTGCTACCATCTAGTAGAAGCATAATGGCATTTTAACAGAACATTTATTTGCACAAATTTCTTTTCACATCAATTTGAGCATTTTATCAGTAGGTCTAAAAGTATAGAAGTTAGAGGTCTCAAAAAGTATGACAAAGGTGCACCTTATAATCAAGAATATATGGTACTAGCTAATCTAAAACTTCTGAAAATTTATTGGTGCTCTAGCAGCAAAAAAAAAAACATGAAATATCAATGAAAAAGAAATATATATAAAAATAGTGATTGAAAATTAGTTTTTTCAATAATTAATGGTTGTTTTCAGATTAAGGCATATTTATGAAATCATTGTAGACATTATCGTACATTGCATGTTGCCCAAAATAATCGTACCTTGAGAAAACCTGCTAATTTTTACCAGTGTTGCCAGGCTTTAAGAGGAAATGTCACCAATAAAGTACATTATTTTGTAAAGCAGTAGACAAAAGTCTACTGCTTTACAAAATCATGTACTTTATTGTATGTACTTTATTGTACAAATTTAATGTACTCAATAAAAACTGGTTAGCTACAGTCAAAGGGTTTAACTGTTAAATTTGATGTGATTTTATTTTTAGTACATGAAAAATAAGTGTTTCAATTTAGTGCCCTCTATTGTGAGTAAAACAGTTGATGCAGAATAACATTTTTCTTTTGGTTAAAAACAGAATGAACATTGTGGAAAAACAAATGATGCAGGAACGAAGAATACAGGAAAAGTTAGCATTATATACATTATATATGGGTCCTTATTTGGGACTGAAGAAAACAACTAATAGATGCAGGAAAATGATTGATACAGCAATAATAGATCAAGAATCCACTGTACACACAGACAATTTACCTAGTGTTTAGATCAGGCATGGCCAACATATGGCCCGTCTAATGAATTTATGTGGCCCGCGATTAATCTCTCAATATTAGCTACTCAAGTCTGAATAGCTCAATGAAAAATTCTGACGCCNTAACAACGGGTTCGGCCGAACCTGTGCAAACCCGCTGAATATCACCACTGTTTACATCATATTACTTTTTATATTCATCATGTTTTAAAAAATTATTATGATTTCTTTGTTTCTGGATGAAATATTTAGTAAAAAAAACAAAATTGGTTTTTAAATTAGCAAGAGTGCATTGTGAATCGATTCTACTTTCTGTATGACAATACACTAAAAGTACTATTTTTTACCAATTTTTTTCCTGCATTCAAAAATAAACTACGGTAGAAAAATTATTTAACATGAAAATTAAAAGAATTTCAGCTGTAACTGATAAATTTCTATTCATGAGAAATTATTTAAAAACTTTCTTACCTAATTCCCAATATCAATCCAGCTTCTCTTCGTGTCATTTTAGGTTCAAAGCCACCTTTATAATATTTGCTATTAGCAAAACTCTGAAAATAATCAAAATACACTTTAAGATTTATTTGAGAAATCAATTTTTATAACATGTTTATAAATTTATATAATTATAATTTTCTTACGGATGTTGTTGGAATTTTAAGATGCTGGAACTTTTCTGAAAACTGTTTTGAAACACGAAAAGCATATCTACCTTAGAAAAAAAAAAAAATTAAAAAGTTAGACATTTGTGTAAAATGTGAAAAAATAAAAAGATTATAAACTCAAATTACCAGCAAATCCTACAGCTGCAAGAGTCAGTCCTGCCAATATAATTCCTGTTGTCTTTAAAGAGAAATTGAAAATACTTTAAATTATCATATTTTGATTATATTGCACTAATTGAAGAATTCTTATTTTATATTATTAACAACCTGAAGCAGACCTATAATTAGTTGAAAACATTTGTCCACATCTGCACAAAATATAAAATTCCTGCTGGTGTTAAAATAAGGTTTTTGGCAAATTGATTAATAACTCGGGTTTAAAATAATTTGGCTATGAATCAATTATAGTTAAAATATCTTAAGATACCTATGAATTAATAAAAACAGTGTTGTACATGATACACACACAAACATTATACCAGACTATACTATGCTTCTGCTAAATAATAACTAAATGTAGTTGCACTGGAATATATTCCAGTGCAATTGATAGTGGACTATTCATTAAGTTGGATGTTATGCATCCCATCTATGGGGGAAAATCCGTTTCATTGATCTGTGACAAAAAAGAAAAATACATTTTATAAGTTTTCAAATTTCACTGTTTTCATTTCAGCTTGTATGAATCTGAATGTTTTAGTTTATCCAGATCAGGTTCAAATAGGTCAAGTTCAACTCTATAAACATATACAAATCTATATGAAGTAAGAAGAAAAATACAACACAAATAAATATGGGTACACAAAATTTTTTGAGATTAAACATTTTCAAACAAAACAGCCTCTCATCAGATTGTAGATTTGAAGCTAGAACATAGAAGATAAATGAAATAAGAAGCACACCATATACTTATATAACTCCAGAAATATACAGTACTTTTAATAGAACAAAAACATTTTTGACTTAAATTAATAGGTCTTCTTCAGATGGAACAAATATAACTTTAAATGAAAAAGAATGTAAATAACACAAACACCAATTAAAACAAATAATTATAGTAGGACAATGTAAATGGCATAAGTAAATTAGAATTCTAAGATAATTTATGAACTCTAATTTATTAATGCCATATACATTATATATTGCATACAGGTGTAGCAGTGTTGCACATCTGGCAACATTTCCACACTTTCTGATTTGTTCGTCCATTATACTTTGTTCAACAATTAACTCATAATTTCGACTAGTACTGCAGAGAAATTGTCATGAAGTATTAATAAAAAAATAATACAAACTGAATTTACAGTAGCAAAAAGATTTAATTAATAGTTAAAACTCACTGTGTTCAGCATTATTAATTGTTTTTTCGTTCATTCGAGCGCTTTCGACAAATGTATTTCCGTCGTCTTCAGGCGAATAAAATGCTTTAATCGAACATGAACATTCGAGAGAATTTTTGAGGTTTTTTGTGAATAAAATTGGAGAATGTTATCTCCAATTTTATTCGCCTGAAGACGACAGAAATACATTCGTCGAAAGCACTCAAATGAATGAAAAAACAATTAATAACGCTGAACACAGTGAGTTTTAACTATTAATTAATATTACTTGGCGTGAATAGCATATTAATCTATAGCAAAAAGATTAATAAAGTCTTCCACAGTTATTCATCAGATAACCCATCAATCTAAATATGCTTTAAAAAAATTTCATTAAACCTTGGATTTATTCAATTATTATGTAATTCACTGATAAGCTAAAATTAACTGATGTATAACAGTAAAGCTATATTAAAATCTGTCCAAAAGAAATAGAGAAAACACAAAGAAATTAAATCTTTTTTACATAAAAATATAAAGTTTGAAAGAAGAACTTTTATCAATGGAATTAGTGCAATTTCAATTGATAAATTTAAAATTATAAAATTTTTCAAGAATCAATCTCTTTCTATATCATGTAGAAACAGCAAATAAAAAGGAAAAAAGCTTTATTTAAATATCAACTAATGTTATCTCCAAATGCATTTCATTTGGTAACAAAGCCAATACCTCTTCTTAGAAACATGGATTTTTACTAAGTTAAAGTTTGCACACACACATAATAGGAAGAAATTAATTACACTTGCTATCACTACACAGGAGTAACAATGCTTGAACATTGGCTGCATTCAGCAGAGTCAACAGTTGTAACCAAGCAAAGGTATTTCAATCGGTAGCCATTACGTAGTTACATCTGCCAAATGATGAGTGACAGACGTATGCGTTGGAACAGAAAGTAGCCATCATCGGCCAGTTTCAGGTAGCAATAGGTAGCGTAAATGAAAGAGACTATTAAATATGACATCAAAATACCAAACACGTTCCAAAACAGCGTTCAACAGAAGAATACTCAATAGCTCCAGAACAGTTGAGTCTGCCGAACGCATCCAATGCTTGAATATTGTTAAGCAGCTCTGTACAGAGTGAATCTTTAAAAAATATTTTCATTCATTTTTGTGAATATTCCAATAAGTTTACTACTAAGAATATTGTATTTATGTAAAAATTATTTTTTATTTTAAATTTGTTTATATGAGAATTTAAATAAATTTCGCACTCAAAGATTTGAAATAATTTCAAAAAATTTACAATATCATTTGTGAAAGTAATAAAGAAATCAGTAGCATTTGTGATAACTATTTAGAAATTTTATTCAATACGAATGCAATTCAAAATCCTAACGAATGTAACACTGAATTGGCATTAAATAAATTCTGATGAAACCGAATATTTAACGGATTTTGGCCATTATACGTCAAGAATAAGATTCCGTACCGAATATCCCGACTATAAACACTTAATAAAGAAATTGCAATTGTTTGAAGATTTCTTTTACCAGATCTTACCATTTTGTAATACGCACAATCCAATAACAACTGAACAAAAACTTTAATTCGCACATAACACGATCACATTCGGTCTCTCTCTCTCTCTTATTTATAAATGCCACCTAGCGGATGAAATTATTTGATATTATAAAGTACTTTATAGTGAAAATTATTAAATAAATTATAATAATATTAGTAATATTAATAAAAATTATTAAATAATATATCATATATTCGATGTGTTTTGGACATGTCTAGCATGTATGTCTCTATTGCAAATATAATTAAGAGGAAAAACATTGGTGTATCTATTATAAAGTATTATCAATAATATTTTTACTACAACAGTTCATAAATTGGATTTCGAAATTTCACAAAAAACCTCAAATAGAAATACAGTAGAGCGTCGATTTTCCGAATCAATTAGGGACTGGGGTGGTCCGGATAACTGATTTACGTACGAAAAAATAGTTTAACGTATACGATGTCGAAATTTTTCTCCGTTGAGTGTCGCTTCGCGTTGAATTTTCGTCGATGTTAAGCCTAACAAAGACTATTGTATCGTTAAAAATTATTTTTTTTTATTTTGTACAAACAAAATAAATATATTGAAAAATATAAAAATAATAAAAAATTATACTTCAGATGTTAATTTAGTATCAAAAACGTAAAATATTTGAGTAGCCCAAGACATAGCCAAAGATTGAAGCGCCACAGCACTGGCGAAAATTTAAATTTGCCGACTGGAATTCTTTCGGATGATTGACTTTCGGAAAATCGACGCTCTACTGTATTCGTTTTCGGCTGTTCTAGACATCATCGGGATACAAACGAAAAGAAAATAAAATGGTTAAATTAAATACATACAAGAACAGTTTGGAACATGACAAGTGTAGGAAATGATCGAAATCAATAAGAAATAAAGTATAGTGCAAAAAATAAACTTAAATACTTTCATACAACTCAAAGGGTCATATTTACCAACCTTTAAAACAAAAGGCCAAATGGCCGAGCGGTCAAGGAGGCAGCCTACCGCTCTGGGGGACCTGGGATGGAATCCGGACGGGTCAAAGAAATCCCCAGGAATTTCTCGTGGGGATGGTCCGTTCGGATATGTCTGGCCCCGTCCCTCACCACCCGGTCGCCCCATTGTGGGCCTGGCCGAACCCATAATGGGCCTCCTATAACAGTATAAAAAAATAAAATAAACCTTTAAAATGGGGAACAGTCATGGCGGATCTAGGTTTTTCGAGGGCTTATTGAACACCTTTCATTTGGTCTGTTGTTTTATCTGTGAAGCGGAACTAGGGCTTATTGAAGCTCCATTTTTTGTTAATACAAATAGTACTTTTGTAAATTTTCGTCCGATGGAGATAATTATGATTAATTTTTTTGAAGACAAAGTCCTTTCCAAAAAAAATATAGGAACCACCATTTATTAACTTTGTGTTCCAGACATTACACTTCTGGCGACTGACCTTTTCTTCATATTTTCTTTATATTTTTAATTGGGTATTTTTGTTTTTTTAAAGGACTGTTTGGCGGCCAGTAGCCTAAAATAAAAGTTAATAAAGGAACACAAAGTTAATAAATGGTGGTTCCTATATATTTTAGGAAAGGACTTTGTCTTCAAAAGAATTAATCATAATTATCTCCATCGGATAAAAATTTACAAAAATAATTTTAAAGTATCGTCACCAGGGGCCAGCTTTCCTCATCCACCTTTCACCAGCGCTTATTTCGTTGTAGATAAAAGCCGAAACAACCCAAGAAGGTATGATGGCCCATAAAAGTCTTCCCGGAAGGCATTCTTTCCCCGCGCGCGCGTTTAGGCCGTTCGGATACGGCTGGCTCATCGGTCGCATAGCGATCAATAAAAATGTATTTCGCAGAAAGAGCCTAAATTGAGCTATACTCTCCATATAAAACTGTGAACGAAGAAAGAAAGAAGAAGGTATGATTGAAAATAGAAGACGTCCGAACATCACCAGTTTCTGTTTTTTTAAAAATGTTTATATTTTTAATTGGATATTTTTGTTTTTTTTTAAAGGACTGTTTGGCGGCCAGTAGCCTAAAAGAAAAGGTCAGTCGCCAAAAGTGTAATGTCTGGAACACAAAGTTAATAAATGGTGGTTCCTGTATTTTTTTGGATAGGACTTTGTCTTCAAAAAAATTAAACAAATAGTACTGTAAATTATCATTATTATTATATTACTAGCAGGAAGGCCCAGCGTTGCTCGGGCAATAGTAACGATAGCGAAGATTAATATTATTACGTTATAGCAGAGTCGGTAGATTAACTGGTCTTTCGACTAATAGTTCAAACTTAGCTAGAGACAATATTTGCCGCTAGTTGGCGCCACTGTTAGCAGGAGAGCGTTGTTCTTGCTAGGTATATACTGAAGTCAGTGATTTTGACCTATAATAATTGATTTTTTAGCTACATAAAAATGCCAACGTGCTTTGCGCCAGGATGCGAGGCAGGATATAAGTCATGAACGAGAAGAGACATTTATTATATCCACGAGACGACAAGATGCTAACAAATAAATGTTACGTTTGTGACGTACATTTTGCGAGTAGATTTATTTTAAAAACCTTCTCCCATGTTATAAATGGAGAGAAAGTAGAAATTCCACGAGATCGCTGGGCATTAACATCGGTTGCATATCCATCAAACTTCCCTAATTGTCCTAAGTACAGTACATTAGTAAGTCTGTACCTCAAAAACGATCAACGCGATGTCTCACAAGAAATGAAGAACCATCTAGGAAGGGATCACGAAAAGACAATACCAAAGGTAAATATAAATACTTATGTTTTTTATGTAATCTTAATCCTCAGTGAGCCATGTAATTTTTTGCCCTTCCCTGAGTCGCAGTGCGTCTCTTGGGCCCTGTGTTTTAATATAAAATTAAATTTTATCTATATTTAAGGAACATTTTATATTTAAAAAATGTTAACTAAAGATTGAACTGGGTTTGTGAGATCCACTGTGATTCACTGAGGGCTATCTCTCTGTGGCCCATCTTTCCTTATAAATACTTTAAGATTAATTGTCTGATATTTTTTTTTATCAATCATTAGATTTGCATGATACACACTCCCAAGTAACAACTGTAGAAAAGGAAGTAGAAGAACCCTCCACATCTGAAGCTGCAACTACACAGCATCCTGAGCTGTTATATGTCAATAAAATCTCTGCTTTGCAGTCTGAATTGTTAAAAGTCAAAGAGGATTTATATCGGTGCAGAAAGCAAAAGATGATCTATAG